AGGCGGTTAACGGAGAAACTGCCGAGTATCCCACGTGCAATGACACGTCAGCCACGTCCGAGAAAGAAGGAGAGCAGTTCCTTTTGGAAGTTATTCTAAGACAGTTTCTACGACGGTTATCATCTCAAGGGCTATAAATAGGAGGAGGAGTCGACAGAGGAGGAGGTCGCCAAATTCACACCAGACAAAACAATGTCAAATTTTATCCCTTTATCCTTTCGTCTTCAGTTTTAGTCGTAGTCGTAGATCTGGAGCTCTCACTGAACCTCCATAGGAGTAGGAGTAAATTAATGTAGATCTGTCTCGAGAGTCGTGTAAACATCGAACACCCTCGTTCGAACTGTGTTTGAAGAGGTGTGAACCGTGTCTTAGTGATCGTTGTCCAAAGAAGTCAAGGTGCATTCAATTCGTTTCAACGCAAGTTTTCTCGCCGGAGAACAAATTTGGCACACCTGGTGGGACACTTGTGTTTGATTTGATGGCTCCAAGACAGAGACAACAAGAAGGTGATCTCTCACCTGGGCTTGTGAAGAAGCACGTGGCTAAATTTGAATTTGGCCAAGAGATGAAAGATGTTGCCGTAAACAATGGCATGGTGGAGACTTCGTCACCGGCGGCACCAAGTGTTGATATAACCACCAACATCATGTTACTTCACAAGATAATGGAGGAAGACCGCAAGATGATGGCGGAGAACCGTCAAGCCTTGGAGGAAAACTACAAGATGATGATGGAGAACCATCAAGCCTTGGAGGAGAACCGCATGTTGAGGGCGGAGAACGTCCGAGCCATGGAGGAACATCGTCATTCCTTGGAGGGATGCCTAGTCAGCCTTGATCGTGGTACCCAACAAGTAAGCCTCCGCCTAGAATCTCTCACTTCTCATCTAGATAATCGTGTAAATCAACTTATAGAGTTGGTTAACAAAAATAATGACGATTTCAATGATTTGAAAAACCTTTTGATAAAACAAGTGGTTCAATCAAGAGATTTGCCACTAGATGGTACAAACTCTTCTACTAATGACCAGAGTGGCCAACTATGGCAGAAGAGCTTGTCACCTCCAGTGGCAAGCAAACCACTCCCTCAATGTGAGAGTTGTGGTGAGAGGTCCACCTCCACTCTAAACACTAGTCATGGGGTCTTGCATGTACAAGGTGATGTTCAACCACTCGTTCTCGAGACAAGATCAGATGAGACACTTGTCAATGGACGAGATGGTGAAGATCCATTAAACGTGGAACAAGTACCACCACATGCTTGCCCACCCCCAAAGTCACCCCTATTGAGTGGACAAAGAGGCGATTCTGATGGACTCAACACACTTAGAGCTCAGCAAGGGGGGCATGAAAGTCTAACTTCCCACAAGTTGACGCCGAGATGTCCATCTAGGGGGCATGTGGTGTCTAAGAGGTCACATCAATCACAAGCAACACATGCTTGTGCTAAACATATTAATTTGGCTAAGTCTGGAAAGGGGGGCATGCCTCCAACCACTTGCAGTAGACATGGGAGCATATCTAACAAGTCACGACGTGAGAAAGCCATAAAAAGTTATTGTAGATTTGAAAATTTGGCTAAGTATGGACAAGACATGTCCAAGAAGCCATATGAAGTGCAAGTCACACATGTTTGCCATAACCATGCTAATTTGACTAAGTCTGGACAAGGGAGCATTTCACCTACCATGAAGAATGGAGTAGAGAGCATCTCCAAGAAGACACAAGAAGTCAAACCCCCACACGGATTTTGTAAGCGTGAGATTATGGATAAGGGTGGATTGGGGGGCAAGTCCATGTCAATGAATAGTAAGTACTCGACACCAACCACAAAGAGTGGACATGGGGGCATGTATAAGAAGTCACCATACACACCAGCCAAACATGGTTGCACCAAGAATCAATGGTGGTTGAGTGCTAAGTGTAGGGGCCAACAAGGTTTAGATGTTGAAAGACGAAGACAAGGAAGCTACACGAGTGGTTGTCGACTTGTCAAGTCTAGACTTGGTCCCCAACATTGTGAGGAGATTAAGCATGTATCAAGTGGGAGGAAATCAAGGCAGAATAATAATTATGATAGCCTTGACATCTCAAGTAAGATGGCCCAAGCAAAGAAGCATGAGACCTCATGCAAGGCCACCAAGACTAGACATGCTGACCATGTACCACCCATTACTAAGCTAGAAAATTCAAAGTTAATGTATGAAGATTTATCTCCCATGGAGGAAAAGAGTCATGTGGTCTATGGATGGCATGTCTGGTTTGATCCATGGACTTGGCAATGGGTTTACACCTTCGGTACATTGATTGTTGCCAAAGGCTATGGAGAGCAGTGACATTTGTCACTTCTTGCCATATAAAATAAATAAATTTATATAATGTACTTATTATATATTAGTTATAAAAAAATATTGTAGCCAAACGTGGCTAAAAGAAAAGATAGAAGGAAAATATCAAAGTGAAAATCTTGAGTTGGAGTTGTTAGACTTCGACATGAAGATCTTGCCACCAAGTCGTTGTAATGGCTTGACATGACGAGCCATACATCAGGCCATGCCATGCCATCTTATCTTGTCCCGAGTAGTCACGGCCTGGGGGGCATGATGGCTTGAAACGTGGTAGTAGAGGAGTGGTGACCAGAATGTCTCTACCAACATAAAAATGAACATTAGTTTGTCTAAGGCAAAAAAGTAGACGACTTGACTTGTCGCGAGGAAGCTGTCTAGCCTTGTGACGAGGTGAGATGAGCCAATCTATGCCAAACTAGCTGCGAAAAATTCTAAGTTATTCTCTCAACCATGTGGCAAAGTACGAAATGTCAATGAGGGTGTAGGTGATAAAGTGAGGTTGGTGTCTCGTTGAATGCATTAGGTGGCTTGACCATTAAAAGCCAAAATTTGGCTAAGGCATGGGACAAGTCATTGACGTCGAGTTCTATCCGGCCATGTTGGCATGATCATTAAAAGCCAAAATTTGGCTAAGGCATGGAACAAGTTTGGGCGTCAATTTCCATCTCGCCATGTTGGCTTGACGGGAAAAGCCAATATTTGGCTAAGGCATGGAACAAGTTTTTACGTCAAGTTCCATCTCGCCATGTTGGCTTGACGCGAAAAACCAAAATTTGCCTAAGGCATGGGACAAGTTATGACCAGTGTTCCATCTGGACGTGTTGGCCTAATTATTGAAAGTCAAAATTTTGGCGAAGTAAAATTGGTGTGTTGATAAGCCAACACGTTACTTGGCTAGCTTGGTGGTGTTCAACTACTTAGTCCATAATTCTTATGCACTAAGTAGTTGGGGGGCATTTGTTTACACCTAAAAAATACTAGTGTACCACATTGATTACTTACAATGCACTAACTGCCTTTATAAGGCCAGATCATTAATAACAATTAGTGTTATTTGAACTGGGCCTCATGATACTAGTTTTTAAGCCCAAATCACTAAGTCTCCAAGAAGGAGCTAGTCTCATCGCGAGTTGGGTAGCCCGACGTGGTCGTGAGATCTAGACCACGTTGGCATCAAATCTAGAGCCCGACGTGGTCGTGAGATCTAGACCATGTCGGCATCAAATCTAGAGCTCTACGTGGTCATGAGATCTAGACCACTTTGGCTTCAAACTTAGAGCCTGACGTGGTCGTGAAATCTAGACTGCGTCGGCATCAACTTTAGAGCTCGACGTGGTCGCGAGATCTAGACCATCAAATTTAGAGCCCGGCGTGGTCATGAGATCTAGACCATGTCGGCATCAAATTTAGAGCTCGACGTGGTCGCGAGATCTAGACCATCAAATTTAGAGCCCGGCGTGGTCATGAGATCTAGACCATGTCGGCATCAAATTTTGAGCCCGACGTGGTTATGAGATCTAGACCACGTTGGCTTCAAACTTAGAGCTCTACGTGGTCATGAGATTCATGAGATCTAGACCACGTTGGCGTCAAACTTAGAGCTCTACGCGGTCGCGAGATCTAGGCCACATCGTGAGACCAAGCCCAAGATCCGAGCTAACAAGTTGGAAGTAAGAAGGCAAGTCATGTGGGAGAGGCAAGTAACAAGACGACAGTTTCAGGATGAAGAGCAGGCGGTTAACGGAGAAACTGCCGAGTATCCCACGTGCAATGACACGTCAGCCACGTCCGAGAAAGAAGGAGAGCAGTTCCTTTTGGAAGTTATTCTAAGACAGTTTCTACGACGGTTATCATCTCAAGGGCTATAAATAGGAGGAGGAGTCGACAGAGGAGGAGGTCGCCAAATTCACACCAGACAACACAATGTCAAATTTTATCCCTTTATCCTTTCGTCTTCAGTTTTAGTCGTAGTCGTAGATCTGGAGCTCTCACTGAACCTCCATAGGAGTAGGAGTAAATTAATGTAGATCTGTCTCGAGAGTCGTGTAAACATCGAACACCCTCGTTCGAACTGTGTTTGAAGAGGTGTGAACCGTGTCGTAGTGATCGTTGTCCAAAGAAGTCAAGGTGCATTCAATTCGTTTCAACGCAAGTTTTCTCGCCGAAGAACAAGGCTACGACATTGGCGTGTTTGCCACCCTTATTAAAGATGACACTATTCCATTTATATAGACGTTACTATTTATAGGAACTCCATTGAAGTTAGCCTTACAAACGCGAAACAAGCTTTTGACTTCTCCATAGTCACAGTTACAATTAGTCAACTAACACGAAGTCCAATGCTTCTAGGTGAGACATGTATTGTTCCACTTTGATTAGCCATGTATATGTCCAACAATCCCACCTAACTTTCACTCTTCATATGTTTTATTCATTCATTAGAATATGCATTTACAATGCACCCACTAGTGACTTGTTAGTCAAACCGAGTCCTTGGTCCTCTTCCCCTCTTTCATTCCTAACCTTCGAGGAAATCAGTATTGAATTACATGGCTGTTTCCCTCCACAACAGAACAGAAGAAGAATAAAAGCTTCTATGTATGTCCCTTTTCTCTCAATCAATTTCATTCCTTATCCTCCTCTCCATCCCACTATGTCCACAAACACATTACTCCGGCGAAACCTCTCCCTAGCTCTGCCTCCAACTTCTCCTCTCCCCCCACCACCTCCACCGCCGCCACGAGCCCCTCTGCTCTCGAGCTACGACGTCTTCCTCAGCTTCAGAGGGGAAGACGTCAGAGGGAAGTTCGTCGACCACCTCTACGCCAGGCTCCAGGGCCTGAAGGTCAACGCCTTCATGGACGAGAAGAAGCTCGCGAGAGGGGAGGTCATCGAGAAGTCGATACTGACTGCAATCGAGAGGTCGAGATTCTCCGTGGTCGTTTTTTCCCTCAGGTACGCCGACTCGGAGTGGTGTCTAGATGAGCTGGTGAAGATAGTGAGGTGCGCGCAGAACAAGGGACACGTGGCGATGCCCGTGTTCTTCCACGTGTCACCGGACGACGTGGCGGGCCAGGCCGGGGTTTATGAGGAGGCATTTGTGAAACATGAGAAGGGGTTTAAGAGGAAGCGGGTTGAGAATTGGAGGAAGGCTTTGATTACCGTGGCTGGGATTTCTGGATGGTGTTTGGGCGAAAATGAGTAAGACAAGTCCACTCTCTTTTTTTTTCCAATTCTATTTTGTCTCTACTTGAGGAGACGGCCATGTGATCTTGGAGAAAATTAAAATATACGGTGGTTAGTGACCCAAGAAATAATTAAGTATGACCTTTGGGTTTAAAATAGATTAAGGTTGTAGTCTAGGGGCCAAATTTATAAATTTAGTCTATGGTATTTGCAAGACCAAGAACTAACTAATTACCACCATTTGGGGATTAAACTAAGACTATCCAACAACTCATCTTTTTTAGGCATTAGTCTATTTAATCACCTAACTATATATATAGAATTTGCACAAAATAATCATTCAAATTGATTTTTTTTTCTTTTCTTTTTCACCTTATACTTGACCATAGCATCAATGATTAATCCTATGACACATTTTGATATGTAGATCAGAGGCAACATTAGTGGAAGAGATAAGCAAGACAATTCAACTCAAGCTGAAGCAGATGGTCGAGAAATCCCAGACCAGGATTGCTTCGATTGCTAGCGTCGTCAACAGAATGAAGTCATCATGGGCCAGATCGCCCACAGTGAAGGAAGTAAACCTGTTCTCCCACCAAATTCTGGAGGACATTGATGTTATAAGAGTGTGCGGATTGGGCGGTTTAGAAAGCACCAAGTCGGCAAAACTCGTCTACGATAATGTACTTGCCCACAGGGAATCACAGCCCTCTGGGCGGTTTCGTTGTGAACCGACCAGGTCGGACCGGAACGACCCGGAGTTAAAATGGAGCCGAAAGATATGGGACGAGGACGGAGACATCAGCGCCGTGAGAACGAGTGGCGGGGACAAGAAGGTCCTGGCCATCGTCGATGACGTCGAGAAGCTGGAGGCACTGCTCCAGCTGGCGGCCAGGCTCGGTTGGTTCGGGTCGGGTAGCCGGGTCGTTGTCTCGGCCGTTGACGAGTCAAAGAAGATTCTTAAAGTGATCCACATTAGCATGGAGGGCCCCACGGGAGGAGCAGCTTGTGGTAATTGTAGTAAGAATTTGGACGTTGCTTGCTTTATGAAAGAGATGGTCAACGGCGGGGAATTGATGACGAGGTTGGTGAAATCGCTGAATAGAGGCGGTTTGCCGGCGGAGATGGTCGTTAAAGTTCGCATCGTGAAGTTCGTGGAGGTTGTGATGGTGGACAACGGGAAGCTGGAAATAGTGACGGCTAATCGTTATCTAAACCGACATCCGGACACTATAGTATCGGTAAAGTAAAAGATAAATTTTATTATTAGATTTGATATTTCTAAGCAATAGCGACCAATGTTATGGTTACTATATCCTTTTAGCAACCTAACCTATGGTCGCAAAAAAGCAATTGAAACTGCCGTCAGCCACCAGTCTATGCTTTTGGTGACCAATTGTTGTAGTAATTAATTCGAACTGCTGACGTTGATATTACTAATTGATATGCAGAGAAGGGAATATTTGGATGATGATTCACCGATCGACGAGGAATGGAGTAATGGCGACGAAGCAGAACTGGAGGGAGTTAGTTGTGGTAGTTCTGATGGAACATTACTGCTGGATGAGAAGATGGAATCGAGGAAGTCGCAGCGACCAAGATTCATGGAGATTTCGTTCCTTATGTTTGCATTTGTGTTTGTTGTATCTGGGCTAGGCCCAAGAAGGCCGCCGGTGCCCGCCGCCGCCGCTCGATATACGATTTCCGACTGGTGCCTCGAGAATTTTCTTAGTAGTGTGTGAGCACGTGAAATTAGTTCAGGGCTTCAGGCTGGTCAACGGATTAATTGAATCTGTGTTTATCAGGTGTTTACAAGTAATTAACACTTGTAAATGCAAAATTTTGCCATTTTTTTCTTGTAGTATCCACTCCAATTTTAATATTGTGGATATAAATACAGATTAAGTATAATAACTTCTCAATGAAATTACTTTTATATCATTTGGTAGGGCTATTACCATGTTTCAAGGATTTGTTAGATATGTATATTAATGATCGGTGGAAAAATATTAATATATTAGGGATTAATCATCTTTATTCCTTTTCATCTAGCACATATATACTTGTCCTAAGTCCTAACTTTAACTTCCCTTTAGATGGACCATTAGTCAACCATACATTTTCTACCAACTCCAAGCAATTGGTGAGACTTATTCCACTTCTCTATACCATATAATCCAAAACCCATCTCACTAGTTATTGAAACAAATGTTTTGGGTGAATGAGATGCAACTTAGAAAAGAAAGGAACCGCTATCAAAAAAAAAAAAAAAAAGAAAGAAAGGAACCACAAAAGAAATCACCTCTTTAGTTTTATTTAACGGATTGTATATCCAAAATGGTCACTAAACCTTGTTTCTGCAACTAGAACCCCTCACTAAATTTCAAAATGTGCCGAAGTTTTAACATTTACATTTTTTTTGCTCGGTCAACATAAATGGTCCTAGCTTGCCCTTAATTCCGTTCAATTTTTTGTTAATTCAAAGTATATATGCATAAATCGGCATTCGAATAAGTCACGTCTCTAACTCGAACACGTGCTCACCGTACCATTTCTTAACAAGGGAGAGGTTAATTTTAAGAGAACGAATGTTAACTGTTAAGTAAGGAAATGAACATAAGCCATCACCACCTTATTGTTTTGAAAATTAGTGGTGATGTTTTTACGATATTAATCACAGTTTGGTGACCATTTTGACTTTTAATCCTTTTATTTAACATTAATTAAACTATACACACACCCCTGCCCTAGCTGGCAGGTCAAACCGTGTCCCTTAGTCCTTCCATGTCTCTCTCACTCGTAAGTCCAAACAACCTTCGAGGAAATTTAAGTCCAGATCTTTCTCATTTAAGTAGATCCATAACATAATACCCTTCTTACAATAAGCTTAGACCAACATTTTCTCACTTTGCTTCCCTTATCTATCTCCCTTTCTCCCAACTATGGCCAAAGATGCATCATCATCTCTCCAGCAGAATCTCTCCATAGGACTGCCCCCAACCACCCCTCCACCACCTCGGCCCCCGCTTCTTTCCCACTACGACGTCTTCCTCAGCTTCAGAGGGGAAGACGTCAGGGGAAAGTTCGTCGACCACCTCTACTCCAGACTCCGAGGCCTGAAGATAAACGTGTTCATGGACAGCAAGACCATGTCGAGAGGGGATGTCATTGAGAAGTCCATCCTCACAGCAATCGAGCGGTCGAGGGTCTTCGTGGTTCTGTTCTCTTCTCGGTATGCAGACTCCATGTGGTGTTTGGATGAGCTGGTGAAGATAACGAGATGCGCGAAAAGGAAAGGACACGTGGCGATGCCCGTTTTCTTCCACGTGTCACCAGATGACGTGGCGGGCCAGACCGGGGTCTACGAGGAGGCGTTCGTGAATCATGAGAAGGGGGGGTTCAAGAAGAAGAGGGTGGAGAATTGGAGGAAGGCCTTGATTGCCGTGGCTGGGATCTCTGGATGGTGTTTCGGCGAAAATGAGTAAGAACACATCAAGTCCACTCTCTTTCAATTTTTCAATTCCATCGGTCTTTCTTTATTCTTTTGTGTTGTTTTCTATTCGGTAGAGCATGTGAATATATAACGTGCGAACTTTTGACTTTGCATTACTATTTGTAGCATCGAAAGCAACGTCAAAAAATTTAATATGCAAGTGGTGTTTGAGATCCAACAACTAATTCAGTACATACATAAATCATAATACATTGGATTCGAAAAACAATTGTCCGATTAATTAGCTATCTTTTGGTATTGGATCGAACGCAAGCAATTCTTGGATAATTAACTACTTTTTGGTGTTCATAATCCTTCTCCATTGAATTTTAATCATAGCATCTAATTCAGACGTTTGTTAGAAATCGTGTGGCACGTATGTATTGAACGGTACGTGGTGAGTTTCAAGATATTGTGCATATATCTTGCAGCTGGAATCACGAGAATTGGAATGATGTTGTAATAGAATTAGTAGCCTATATTGCACACTCAGCTGGATTTTCAATTTGTTTTCAATTTTGCCTAGGAGTGCTGGTTTGGTTTGGTTAACCAAACCAAAATCTTTAGAAAAAAATTGATCTAAAATTTTCTCAAAGTCGAAATCGAACTGGGTTCGGTTTCGGTTAGGAAAAGATGCAAATCGGAATATGTATACCCTTTGTAATATGTTGGTTCGAGTAACGTTCGATTTTGGTTTCTTTTCGGTCTTTTTGGGGTTTAAACCGATACCAAAATCATTAAAATACTATCAGATTCAGAACCCAAAACCAATAAATTCTCATTGTTTCGGTATCGATTTAAACCGAAAAAATCCAACTCAATTTCCCAGCCCTAAATTTGACCAAAGCATCGGAGGTAATATTTATTACGTCGTGAAATTGTATAGGGTAAATTATATTAATGGTGACACATTTTATTACGCAGATCAGAAGCTACCTTAGTGGAAGAGATGAGCAAGACAATCCAACTCAAGCTGAACGAGATCACCGCCGAAGAAGAAGAAGCCCATACCAAAATAACTCCCATAATGGCGACGACGACTCTCAAGGAAAAACACCTCTTCTCCTACCAAAACCTACAAGACATCGCCATCGTCAGGATCTGCGGATTGGGCGGCCTAGAAAGCACCAAGTCAGCAAAACTCGTGTACGACAATGTGCTCGCCCGCAGGGAATCACAACTCCCATCCACCACCAATCACAAAAACGACAAGACATTTCGACTCAAACCAACCCGGTCGGACCAGCAGGACCACCCGGAGCTGAAATGGACCCGGAAAGTATGGGACAACGACGGAGGAGACATCATCACCGCCGTGCGAACGAATCACACCGCCATCGGCGGGTACAAAAAGGTCCTGGCACTCGTCGACGACGTCGAGAAGCTAGAGTCGCTCCTCCGTTTCGCTGCGGTGATGGGTTGGTTGGGTTCGGGCAGCCGGATCGTCCTCTCGACCGTGGATGTTTCCAAGAAGATTCTCAAAGTGATCCACATCTACATGGAGGGTCCCACAGGAGGAGAAAATGGTAATTGGGCTAATAATAATAATAATAATAAGTATTTGGACGTTGCTTGCTTTATGAAGGAGATGGTCAACGGCGGGGATCTTATGAAGAGGGTGGATAAATGTCTAGCCAACGGCGGTTTGCCGGCGGAGATCGACGTCAAGGTTCGTGTCGAGAGGTTCGACAACGTTGGGATGGTGGAGAACGGGAAGCTGGAGGTAGCGGCGACGGCGACGGCGTCAGATGATGAAGAAGACGGTGAAGATGGAACATTGCTGGATGGGGAGATGTGGAAGAAGAAGAGTAGTACTTCAAAGGGTAAACAACCGAAAGTAATGCAGGTTTCGATCCTTGTGTTTGCTGTTGTTTTCATTGTATCGAGAGTAGGCCCAAGAAGCCCAGTAGTCGCTTGATACATCCGGTTACCAAACCAACCCGGGCCACCAAGCTAAGCATTCCTAAATATGGACTAGCTGGCCCATGAAATTGGGTCTTTTGTGTGAACGAGCCCAAGAAATTTTATTTTTTTCGCCGGATACTTAGGAGAGAGGTTTTTCAAAGCAGAGCACTTCCATTATGCTATATAGTATTGGTGTTTTAATGTACAACTTGAAGTTGTACCATAACGTTAAATGTATAAGTTTAGGTTGTATCATAAATGAATTTGTACTATTATGTTATGATACAACTTTACAACTTAAAGTTATACCATCACATAAAGGTACAAGTTCAAGTTATATCATAAAAGAATTTGTACAAAAAGTATAGGTACAATATAAAATTGTACCATAACGTTAAATGTACAATTTCAAATTGTACCATAAAGGCAAAAACCTATAGCACCAATGCTATATAGCATTGTAAAATTCCTCTTTCAAGTATACTGTTCTTAAGATTGCAATCCCAACCTCATTAAAACGCAATCAATGTTCAAGGAAGTGACAAGGTTGAAGTGTAATCTCCTCCTACTACAATTATCAGATCTAATTTCGTAACTCTTCGATAAGGGAAATATTTTGTACCGAAACTTATAGTACGGTTATGAGACGGGATAGGTCAGATCCATTCTCATATATTAGAAGAAACTGAAATATTCATTTTTTTATGACAAAAAGTAAAGGGAAAACACTTGAGGAATGAAAATAGTGATAACAAAATGAGTAATTGAATTTGAACAAATAAAAGATCAAATTTTGCACCTATTTAAAATTTCATTATGTGAAAATATTATTTAAAATATTCAAAATTGGAGAAATATAAATACATGTCAAGGAAAATTGAGATAGTACAAGTTAAGAATGCATCTGAAGTAGTAACTCATTTCTCACCCCACGCTGCTGCGGTTCGGACAATACTCTTTCCAACACGGGTCAAATCGAGTAATACCCAGCGCGCGGAGATTTCAAAATGCCATCCTAAGAGGCACCAACTATTTTAATGACCATGTGATTATAATGTACAAATGCAATCGTTTAACATCGTGTTTGTATAGCCTAGAAATCCAAGTTAAAATTCAGTTCCATATATAGTAGTTGCAGATTTGCAGTACCACTCATATCGATCCACTTGATAAAAGAAAAATCTTATGTAAAAAAGCACCTTGTCGATTGTTTCATTATTTAGTGCAATCTGATGATTTTTTAAGGTTAAAGCATGCACCTTGCTGATTGTTCCACTTCATTCGCTACTTTTAATCTCGGTGCTCATACTTTCTTCTGTCCGCCATCCATTTACCCACTCCCACTCCCACTAGCCTCCCTCTTTTTCATAAATGTGCTTCACACCGTAATAACCACAACCAGCTGAAACAACCATGAAGCTATTCCTCGTGCTCCTCAATTGCTTCTTGCTCACGGTAGGTCAAGTCGGCGGCCCGCTCCTCGCCAGAACCTACTTCCTCCACGGCGGCAAACGGCGATGGCTCTCCGCCTGGATCCTCACGTGCGGCTTCCCCATCATGCTCCTCCCTCTCGCAGTCTCTTACTACTCCCTCGCCGCGAAATCCAAAACGACACAATCCACCGGCCGTTTCACTCTCACGAGATGGCTTTTCGCCACGAGCGCCGTCCTCGGCACACTCCTCGGGCTCGACAGCTACCTCTACTCCTTCGGCACATCGTACCTCCCCGTCTCGGTCTCGTCCCTTTTGGGATCCACGCAGCTCGCCTTCACGGCCGTGTTCGCCTTCTTGATCGTGAAGCAGAAGTTCACACCTTACACCGTAAACGCCGTCGTTTTGATGACGTTCGGCTCGGCTGTGCTAGGGTTTCACATGGACGGCGGTGTGGTTCCGAGAGGGGAGTCGGTTGAGAGATACGCGCTGGGCTTCTTCATGACGGTTGCCGCGGCGGCGCTGCATGGCTTCTTGATGACGGCGCTGGAGTATGTTCATAGAAAGGCTGGGGTTCCTCTGACGTTTGACTTGGTCATGCAGGTTCAGTTCGTTATCTCGATGTTCGCCGCCGTTTTCTGCACCGTCCCCATGATCATCAACCGTGACTTCCAGGTAATTTGTAGTACTGCGCGACATCGATGACCGACTGATTCTTAACATGGTCGCGAAAAATTAAGGTTTTTTTTTTTGCCTTTTGCGAAAGTGGTTGCGATAGCTTTATTTTGTCGACTTGCCAATTACTATTTTGGTTGTTAAGTATTCGTAACGAGGCCAATTCTGCAACCAAAATATTTTGGTTGCAAAAGGTATTTATAACCAATTTAAGACCTTTAGGGACCAATTTATTAGTTGCAAAAAGCCTTCTTTCTTGTAGTGGTGTTTCATAAGAGAATTGCGTCGATCTTTCTGGTTTTCAGGTTAAAACCTGGCCGGACCATTTTCAATCCAATCCAATCACGATTGAGACCGTTTTCAATCTAATTTAATTTTCGGTTGTAAATAGTTATTGATAACCAAATTAAGACCTTTAGGGACCAAATTATTAGTTGCAAAAAGCCTTCTTTCTTGTAGTGGTGTTTCGTAAGAGAATTGCGTCGATCTTTCTGATTTTCAGGTTAAAACCTGATCGGACAATTTTCAATCCAATCCAATCACGATTGAGACCGTTTTCAATCTAATTCAATTTTCGGTTGTAAATTGATAACCAAATTAAGACCTTTAGGGACCAAATTATTAGTTGCAAAAAGCCTTCTTTCTTGTAGTGGTGTTTCGTAAGAGAATTGCGTCGATCTTTCTGATTTTCAGGTTAAAACCTGATCGGACCATTTTCAATCCAATCACGATTGAGACCGTTTTCAATCTAATTCAATTTTCGGTGGTAAATTCGGCATTTTTTCCTCGCAGGCTATGGCTAAAGAGGCGGTAGAGTTCGATCTCGGAGAAACCAAGTACTACATGACAATTCTGTTGGCGGCGGTGGCGCTCCAGCTCATGATTATAGGATCCATTGGGTTGGTTTTCAGCTCATCTTCCCTTTTCTCGGGGCTGGTAACGTCTTTTCTAGTCCCGACCCAACAGGTTTTCGCCGTAATTTTTCTGCGGGAAGGGTTCGACGCCGAGAAAGGGATGGCGCTGGCGATGTGCCTTTGGGGGTTCGCTTCTCATTTGTATGGCGAACATAAGGCGGCGGCAACCTCGGACAACAAGCAACCAACACCGAGGAATCACGGTGATCAAGAAGATTCTCCTGCTGACGTGTAACCAAATGTTGTCGCCATTACTATAAAGTTGTTCTCTAAGACATGATGCACCTTCTAATGCTCACGCGCAATAGGTTATGTGGCGGGGGGAAAAACTATTGCACACTTCTATTTTAGAGCTTAATGTAGAAGAAGAACAATTGGATTCCATCGAGCACCGAGAAAACAAGAAGTGATTTGATGGGATTCCTTCGAGTGCGCCCATTAGTCAGCACCCATTTATGTTCAACTAAGAAGAAAAGGATGGTGGAATTGCCAATTGGAGATTATATATTTGTTTATATGAAAAAAGAGAAATAACTGTTATGTTTCCATGGATTCTATGAAGCTAAAATTTGTCTTTCAATGTCCTTTGAGTTTCATAGACAACTTAGTGCTTTCCATCTCAGGCATCCCTACCACATCATTGAGTTTTAGCATGAGATCTCCTTATCACGCTTAGTGGAATTCACTGCCGATCCTCAATTCGAACCCATGAGTCATGTCTGTCAAACAATCTATCACATGGTGGCAAATAAATTGGATTTGTGTATTTTTTTTAAAATTGAATGGATGAATTAGTTGATTTATGGATCCAAAGTGGCAGCTAAATATTGGATCAATGTGAAAATTTTGAAAATTTTAAATATCAAATGTCAGAATAAAAAATATCAGGTATCAAAATGTAAGTTGGCAATGCTATTATTGTATCAAACTATCAATGGTAAAAAAAAATGAAAGGATTAAACTGTAAATTTATCAACAATGTATGAATCCACTCATTCAATTGGATTTAGAATTAATGGATAGGATTAGTTGAATTTTTTTAATGAACTAATAGAATTGGATTCAAATTGTTACCTCTAATCACATGACATTACCATTCGTAATAACTGATCCATTATTCCCACTATGATGACTTACCACTCGTAATGACCCTACTAGACCATTTAGTTCCACCTCTAGACTCAACTAATCGGGGATGCTAAATGTTTAAGTGGCGACCTCCACATATGGATCAGACCAAATCATGAAAATCGGAACATTTAATAATATAAGAAATTCTAGAATTAAAGAAGTTATCATCTGTACATTTAATTTAGTACTAGTAAGGAAACCCGCGCTCCGCGGCGGGGAGATCGTATTGGAAAATTTTGGAGTTTGCTTTAGAAATTAACATATTTGTGTATCCATGAGTAGTTGAGTAGAGAACATGCGATTTAAGAAAAAAGGATAATTTGTAAATCTATAAACTTTGCACTGGAAATAAACATTAAGCACATAATATTATTATGTATTGCAAAGCGGGTGTTGCCATACTAAAGCAGCAGTACATATTGGTCGCTGTCAAATTGATTAATTGGGAAAATACAGTTTAGATATTGTATTGTTTTGCATTGAATGTGATGTAAAAGAGTGTCAGTTGGTGATGGTGCTGAAAGTTATGTAAATGCTTGTTGAAAATGGTGGAGATGTTGACATTTCCCCCTTGAAATTGCAGTATAAAAGGAGTGCTAATTAAGGAGCCAGAAGGGTTGAAAAGCAGGATCACATGTTATGCAAGCACCCACAAAAGTAGTGGCAGTATGGTAGATAGGTGACGGCAAGAGTCTTGCCTGTTCACATTTGTTGTCGGACTGACGCAGTAGAAGTTTTTTTACCCCTGATAATTTTTGCTATTATTGCCTTTTTTTCCTAGGTAGATCTAGAGAAGGTGGAACAGGGTGTCTCCTCTTCTCTAGGTAGACTCGCTCGCGTTGCTTCGCGTAACAATGATAGCAAAAAAGGCATATCATGCAAACCTGACGGCGAAATGAATGGAAAATGATAAAAGGAACATTTGAGGCTCTTAATCAAGCAAATCATAATACACTGGTTGGACAGAATTGCAGCACCTGAAGCACACACCTTATTTGACCGACTACAATTTTGGCTAGTGGACAGTAACTCTGGATTTATGAGTTAGAACGAAGTGAAAAACATACTGACATTACCAATCGATATTCAAAAAAGAACATGCATGTAGCTATCCTCAACAACTCCCTTGACAATCACCTATTACACGTTTCAAACAACATTGGATACACTAATATATAGAAACCAAGAATTCTAAGAGAGTGAAATGGACGAACCCATCCGTAATAGATTGAACTCCAACGGGTGCGAATTAAATTTCCTAGAAAGCAATTGCAAAATTTAGTTAGAAATCCATCACAAAATGTTGCAAGAACAATAAATTCCCACTAAAAGTCAGTCAAATGGACCGATCAAACATCATATGTATGCCATACATAGACATAAATGGATAGCAGAGGGCAACTTCCATGGAGCCAACAGTTGGCCGCAAAAAAACTGATTGAAACAACTATAGCAATTCAACTTACAGAATGAGTAGCAGTAACAATCATAAACCTGTCTTTATATGCAAGGCAATATCTTAATAATCAAAAAAAAGTTCAGTTTCACAAAACCAACACGGTTTGGCTCTAGGACCAAGTTATAAAAACACACCTTACAGTTTATAAACGGTAATTAAAATTCAACATATGCACCATCACCACCACGTTTCACTGCCACTTCCCATTAAAGCGAAAACCAAATGGAAATTGATCTGTAAACCAACATTGGTAGGCAGAGATTAAAACTAATCGAAACCCAAATAAAAGCGCACAGGCGCACATCATTCCTTAAGAGTCGAAAACGATAAACTGGAACAACTACTAAAGATCCAACAAAACCAAACATTTCCTCACTCAACCTTTCATATGCCAAATAAATACCTCTAGGATCTTAGAAATTCAATCATTGAGGGCTGCTCTATATTTAAAATCAAACCTCAAGTAACCTAGAGGGAAGGTTTAGGCAACAGTTGAGAGAGTTAAGATCTGAATTGAGCAGCAAGAAAGCACCAAATCTGACGCGAGAAAAACAAAATGTAAAACCCTAACCGAAACAAAACCACCTGAGTTTGTCGATTAAGAGAGGATGAGCGGAGTCCTTTTTTTTTCTTTTTCGATTCCAATAGAGAGAGAGAGGCTTCCGTGTCCTAATACTGTCATCGACCCCGTTGATTCCAATACCCCTTGTATTGCAATAAAAGCATCTACCAACTTCATCTCTGTATAGGCCCTCAACATTCCTTCCCGTGTCACTCTTGATTCCATAGACGACTTCGTTTCTGCACTGGTGTTGTCAACGATGCCTCATGTTAGGATAATTAACTAATTTTAAAATCAATCATTTAGACTATGTAAAGAAATTATAATAGAGGTCTGGGAATTGTAGAACATGTCAGTAACAAAGTTCAGAGTTACAGGAAACCAGAAATGATCTCCCATATGCAACGCTCTACCATTTGAAATACATCTTAGTGCAAGTATTCAGTTTTGTTTATTTGTATCCTACCGTAGAACATTAACAAAAGTGCAGCATACAATTAATTCGAGTACACCATCTAAAAGATAAACTGGCAAATCAAAGGAACAAATCTAAGGTTGCAAATTTTGCCATTGACAGTAAAGCTAATAAGTTGAAACTTGAAGATGCAGTTAACAAAAAAGTAGCAAAAACAAAGAACTAATACTGACAGAAAGATAGTGGAAAATAAGAATCTAAGCATGAAATACTCTAAGAAGGAACTCCATAGCAAAATCGGTTAAAGTTGTGCACTATTCAAGCTTTGAGGAGAATAGAATGAAAATGAAATAATTTATTTGCTCCTTGTTGGCCATCACCAGTTATTGGATGTGGCTAATGAAAACTGAACTGTTCTTTTTTACTTAAGGCTATATTAAAAAGAAAGGATAAATAGCGGGACATTACATGATGAATAAAGGGATGTAATAAAAGGCAGTATTAATTGTTGGGGAGCAACCAACAATGCTTCAAGAGTGAGGTTTTTCCTGTTTTACAGGTTGATAAAGTTTATCGAACGATGGGTAATTCCTGCTAGACAAATAGAGTTTCAGGTCAGAGAGACACACACATCAAATGCTCTAGCCTTAAGCAACTATATCCCAAAATCGATTCCATTTTAGTTTAGCTTAATGCTTTCAATTGCAGAATCCTAACAATTTAAGAGTGAATACTTGCCTGCTTTTCAATTCCTTTCTTTCAACCATCACTAATTGTATATGGCCACCACCTAATAGCTCACAAACAAATTTGATCCAAGACAATATATATAAAGGCTCAGAGAAGGGTGCAAAGGAACTCCCTTAAAAAAGTGAGTTTCAAGGCCAGAAGCGGAAAGAAGTGCAATTTAAAAGTGAGAATACGCTTCATTCGACATCACAAAGACATGTATTAAGAATTAAGAACGACCGAGAATGGTGTAAATAGACTTGAATAATAATGTATGATACACATAAACCATTGAGTGGAAAAAAACCTCAATATATTAGAGAAAGAAACTATGGTCGTGGGTACCTGTAAATGCCGCCAACATTTGAGGAAGAAAACATAAAACCGTAGATTGAAAGGTGACATAATATGACCCCATTCAAACTTAAATCTGATAACAGCAACAGAAATCTCAACAGTGGTTGCGTCCTGGGCACAGAAGAGGAGACACGGGGAAATCTATTAAAATCAAAGGTCAACACTGTGAAAAGGAAAGCAGAGAGGTCTGATTAAATTACCACATAGTAGAGCACTCTTCGATCTGGAGGTCTGAAAAGGAACTCCGAAATTATGGGTACAATCTGGAGGTAAATATGCAGAGCAACTGTAGCGAAAAGGTGCAGAATTATGGTCTAAGATAAAATGTATCTCGTTAGGTGGTGTTCCTACTATACAGAGTCAATAGTCAAGGAAGAAAATTCGAGCGAAAAGATGAACAGGCATGAGCATGAGATATTAACAAAGTTGAGACTATAACCTACATCAGGACAGGTCGAAGCCAATCCGAATACAGATTAGAACCGATAGTCAGAGTAGCCACATATTTTGAGTTGCATGTATGAAATTCTCAAAAAGGTCACAGGATTGTGCATGAACATGTTACTGGGTGTCCCTGCCTCTACAAAGTGACACGAACCACCACGAAAGAAAACCCCATAAAACTAATAATATTTCATAGGATCTCTGAACTTTCTGATAAGAAACCAGCGAGCAATCTCAACTGAACGGAAGAGCACCCTTTTCGTTGAAGGCATAAGCAAGTTCCTTAACACCGTAGATCCACAACCTGTCATTCGAGTGCTTGATGGATGAGATCCCACGACAGCTATCAACCATTTCCATATCATCTTAAAAGATGGAAACTCGCTATTTGCGTTTCCCCTAACACATCTCACACAACATGGACTCATTCAGTAGGAAAATCAAATTCAACAGCTTGTAGATACTAAAAGATGGAAACTCGCTATTTGCTGGGAAGATGGACTA